ATTAGCAGGCGCTGGTAGCAGCTGGCAGTGGCCAAAGGGGCGGGGCGGGCGCTGCAGATGTCTGACCAGCTGTGCAAATATGGATGAATAAATCTACTATCACTGATGTCTTTATTCTGTATTATTTATGACTTTAATTTCACAATTCAAGTACTAATTAATAAACACATAATAAAAACAGTCATATAGCCTTTATGAGTTTTTTATTTGTGTAACTTTACCCTCCTGTTGGCACGTAGGACCATTGAGAAATGTAATTGGTGGTAAATAAGCGGGAGCTTATTTGGAGGGAAAACAAAGTCTATAAATATAGCATACACATCTTCCGGTTTCCTCTTTCACCATGGATTGTACTTGGGGAAGCCTCCTTTGTATTGCTGCAGTCTATTTGCTGAGGAAACGGAGGGCCCAGCGCCGTCGGTCCATCTGGGTCCACAGCGTGTTGCAAACCCGGCAACTCCACAGTGAATTTCACTGGTACAGGAGCTTCGTTTTGACGATGTCTGGTTCCAGCGCTATTTCCGACTGGACAAGAGTCAATTTGATGATCTGCTCACCAAGGTTGGTCTGCGGATCCACTGGATGGACAGCAACTACCGGCAAGCCATTGGTCCCAGTGAATGCCTGGCTGTCTGTCTGCGGTGAGCTTCTCTCCCTCTGCAGCTACCGTGTGGGGGTATCCACAGTGTGCAGGATTGTGGCAGAAGTGACCAGGGCAATATGGGACTCCCTGGTGGAAGAATACATGCCTGTCCCAAGCACAGAAGATTGGAGAGCCATTTCAGCCGACTTCTATGACCGCTGGAACTTCCCTAACTGTCTGGGATCCATCAACGGAAAGCATGTTGTCATCTAGGCTCCAAAGAACACCAGCTCACTCTTCTATAACTACAAGGGGACATTCTCTATTGTCCTCTTGGCAGTTGTGGATGCTCGATACTGCTTCCATGTGATGGATGTTGGTGGTTTTGGGAGGACCAGCAATGGAGGGACCCTGGCCAACTCCACCTTTTGGCCAGGCACTCACCAGTGGGACTCTCCAGATCCCAGAAGATGCCATCCTTCCAGGAGCTGATCACTTGGCTTCATCTGCCACAACACTACGTGTTCGTGGCAGATGAAGCCTTTCCCCTCCACAGGGACCTCATGAGGCCTTTCCCAGGAGCCAACCTCCCTCCAAGGAACAGGGTCTTCAACTACAGGCTGTCACAAGCGAGGCTGATTGTGGAGAATACCTTTGGTATTCTGTCCTCTCAGTGGCACATGTACCGGCGGGTGACTGGTCTGAGCCCTGAAAATGTAGAGGCATGTGTGAAGGCTACCTGTGTCCTGCACAATTTCCTCAGGAGGAACACCACCACCAGGAGGGAACCAGTGCCCACGTCAGAGGAGGAGGTGTCAGTGCTGCAGGGCTTGAGAAGAGTGGGGAGCAACTATGCTGCACGGGAGGCCATCCGTTTGAGAGAGATCTACGCTGCCTACTTTTCAGCTGAGGGTGCAGTACCTTGGCAACCCAGGGAATGATCGTCATTTCATCATCCACAAAAAGGTTCTTTTAAGAACCAACCACATTAAACTAAAGGCATATTTCCTTTTTCTGTTGGTCATTTTTTGTTCTTCATTGTCTGGTTCAGAAATAATATTGTTCACACAATACACAGTTTATCATTATTATTACTGAAGACAGAGTCTTATTCCAAGTGTCATTATTTTTTATTCCAAATAATGGCCCTCTCTTGATTGTAGTAACTAAATTGTATATGTAGTCACATTTTTAATCCTCTCTTTAATTAATTGAATTAATCTTGTCATAATCTAATAACATCACATGAACAAATCTATTTACCCTTTGGTCCAGAAGGCATCTGAAACATGCATACTGTTAAAAGCTAATCGATCATATTCACTGATAAAAATAAAACAAAAAACATCATAAAATCAAAAAAATTAAATTTTTAAGTATTTATTGAAATCACAAAACATTTGTGTTGAAATGGCTCAATGGTATTTTAAACGTCACATTGAGTCTAAAAATCTTTGTAAACAGAATAATTAAGACAATTTATGCAAGGAAGAGGATATGGTAGAAATGGGAGGCAAACTAAACTCAAAAAATAACTGGCTTATTAAAACACTGGATGTTGCTACAGGACTGTAGGTGGTGCTATAGGATAAAAAGTGACACTAGGTTACAATATTGTGCTTTTTAGCACAATTAAATCATCAAAATGTTTGAACAAAACAAATGAGGTGTCATTTTATGTAAATTTGGTCTACTGACCATACAGTCCCAAAATAAGTGTAAAATTGGTGGTAATGAGTTAGAGTGAAGTTGGTGAACAATGTGAAACACAGAACTGGGTGATAATTTTATGCTGCATGCTTTGTAACCAGTCAAAGCAATTTGACACAGGAGGACAACAGGAGGAAATTTGATTCATATAATAATAACAAAAACAATTTCCCAACAAAAAAAATGTGGCCAAAATCCCAAATTAGCCCTCTTGTTCTTCTGCCTGTTGGCAGGTTGCCTCAAAAATCAGTCTGTGAATTTGAAATTTCATGTCATGTCCTTCCTTCGAGCTGACAGGGCCTTGAGGTCAGGGAGAAGACCCTCGAAGAATAGTCTGTCTGGGTCAGGGGGTGCTGCCGGTGCTGCCTGGCTCACAGCCTTCTCCATGGCACCCATCAGCTGCCTCTCAAATGGGGAGAGGGTACTCTCACTTCTGTGGCCTGAACCTCTCTCTGGAGGTAGATGTTGTGGGTGTTGGTGTGGGTGTGGGAGTGGGTGTAGGTGTGGGTATGGGTGTGGGTGTTTCTGGGTCAGGGGGTACAGGCTCCAGGTAAAGAGTTATCTCCTCCTCCATCTGACTGGGCTCTGTGACCTGGGTGGCTGCAGAAAACTCTCCCTGCTCCTGACTGCTCTGGCTGGCAGCAGGCATATTGCTACTCGTGGCCCTTTCCTCCATGAAAGGATTGAGGAAGCTCATCACTTGGGTGTAGCGCCATGGGCGTTGGCCTGAAGCCTCACTTCCACTCCTGTGCCTGTCCTTTTCCTTCTTTCTGTCCCTTCTGTATGTGTCCCTCATGCTCTTCCATCTTTTCCTACAATCCTCAACTATACACAACAGACAGAAAAATCAACACCTCTCCCTCTGTGTATTTTTAGATAGATAGCCTTTATTTTCCCATAGGGAGATCTGTTTTCACAATCTGTCACCACCAAACATTGAACATATGAATATACATAATGCACAAGCACCAACCAGACATTGTGTCAAGCATAATTACAAGCTGATTTATTGGAAAAACAAATAGTAAATTATATTATTTATTATGTATTGTAATAAATAGTTAATCATAATCATTATATTCTTTCTAGTTAGCCTAAGTTACCTGTTCATCACCTATGCCAACAATATCAGACACCTGTTTCCAGGCATCATTCTTTTTTTTGATGTCTCTGTATATGAATAAAGACACATCATATAAGACTGGGAAAGCTGCAACTGTACTTATAAGTTTTCCTCCATTTTCCTCTTTCTTCTTCTCTGTTTTCTCTCTTCTTCTGCTCTCTTCTCTTCTGTTTCAATTTCTCCCGCCTTCGACTTGAATCCCGGTCTGCAATTGGCTGCTGCTTCAGCGGCGGCGCTGCTCATTTGCATCAAGTTCAGCTTCTCTCAACTTCAGCTTGACGCTCTGGTCGCTGGCATCGCACTGCTCGCGGTCTCTCACTGCAGCCGACGCAAGTGACGCCCTTCATCGCGAGTGTTCATTGAAAATGAATGGCTGCTGGCTGCTTATGACACTCATGAATCTTTTGGTTGGAACGCACAGTAAGTGTGCACAGCTGTGAGTGGTGGATGAGGAGGTTCTGCCCCTTCATCTGTGAGGGAATCACTGCAACAACCACCTCACTGTCCCTTTTTTTCCACAGTATGGTTAACTGCAAATCAAGATTACCAAAAACAAAACAAATAAAGTGTATGTTATAAATGTGTTGGGATGGGGCGTGGGACAAAGATGTGACAAAGATTTATTTAGGGCCTGGCACCTGGTGGTGCGAAGCATACTGCATACAAAATGTGTATGCAGTATGCCATTCCAGCAGACCGTTCGCAGTATGCAGTATATAGCCAAGTATCCCAGAATGCATTTCGCACCAGCTGACAGCAAAAGTGGAGAGTTCAAAACAGGCTAAAAGCTTTCCACTGTAGCGCTGTTAATATGTCACTTTATTAAGTTTTAATATTTTTTCAGGCATAAAAGTAACCGTTTAGATCCCCAACATGTGGTCAGTTTATCCAAATAACGCCTGTTTGGAAATTTGCTCCGACGTCTTCGGGGATGAGAAGAGCCGCTATGGGAGCAGCTGGCCGGGAGCAGCAAGCAGCTCGCAGCCGGAATACCGAGACGATCGCCGGTCAACCTCCGTCATCATCCCGGGGAGAAAGCAATCCGATGAACTGACCTGCTGCTCTTTGGAGATTTACCGCTGGCTGATATAAATCCTTTTGGAAGATAAATGTTGGTTTCATAGATGAAATCTAACAATTGTAGCTGCCACATTAGTTTGTCTGAATATAAAGTGAAGCTTCATGTTTTTACTGGACAGAACAGCAGCACTGCTTCTGGGGCTCTTATGTACAGACATCACAATTTCAATAAATATAAATGTATTAAAATGAACAGGTCAGTCTATATTGAATTTCCTTTTATCGTATTAAGCTACACAAGTTTGGATTTTTATTATAGCTACATTACAGACAACATGATTTAGTGCATCTCTACGTATGTTAAGTCTCAAAGATTTGGCATGACGCTTAATAAAATAATATGCGCACAGTACAGTACGGGATGACGCTTAATAAAATAATATCATGCGCACAGTATGGTACGGGATGACGCTTAATAAAATAATAACATCATGCGCACAGTACACTATAATAGGCGAGCAGAGGCAGGAAAAGCTGAGGGAGGAATAGATAGACAATAGCAGTAAAAAAAAAGAAGACATGTCTTATCTGTCGGTAGTCAATGCCAATAATGTGGCACAAAGGAGGCGAAGGAGGAGGGATGCCAACAGGCGAAATATGTTGGCCATTCTTTGCGCGTATGAGTCCTATGTAAGTACATATCAAACTTTCTTAAAGCGTTAAGTTGACTAGGGCTAAGTAAAGCAGTAGGCTCTTAAGCTAACAGGTATATACTGTCAGATAAGTCAATAAATAATATTCTGTGACAAACACGTTTGTTAGAAAAGAGGTTATTTCTTTGGAAAAAATTAACTTAATGAAAAAAATGAACTTTAAAAGTAGAGTAATAAAGTAAAAAAAAAACAGGCCATGTAGCAACTCGATGTAATAATGGCTCATAATGTAATAACGCTTCATAATGTAATAACAGAAATGTAATAAAAGTTCATAATGTAATAATCGTCTCATAATGTAATAAAATCATGAGCACATAACGTAATAATGGCTTTGTGCATAATGTAATAATGTAATAACCTATTAAATTATGAACCTTACTGGTGTCGCTCATAATGTAATAACAGCTCATAATGTAATAACAGCTCATAACGTAATAACAGCTCATAATGTAATAACAGTTCATAATGTAATAACAGCTCATAATGTAGTAACAGCTCATATTGTAATAACAGTTCATAATGTAATAACAACTCATAATGTAATAACAGCTCATAATGTAATAATCGGCTCATAATGTAATAAAATCATGAGCACATAATGTAATAATGGCTTTGTGTATAATGTAATAATGTAATAACCTATTAAATTATGAGCCTTACTGGTGTCGCTCATAATGTAATAACAGCTCATAATGTAATAACAGTTCATAATGTAATAACAGCTCATAATGTAATTATTGCTCATATTCTGAGAAAGCTGCTGCATTATCATAATTTTTACATCTTAAAGGTGCAAATAAAGCAAATGGCATGGGTTTCAGCGCATAGTAAACTAAATTAGTGAAACCAAGAATAATTTAATCGTAATTGCATTCTCACATTTTATTATGTAAGATGTATAAAGTTGAGCCACTAGGTGGCACCCATGTTAGGTATTTTGGGCCTTTGAGAATGCCATGCTCACTTCCACTGTCTGATTGTTCCAGGTAAACAGTTGATGGAAAGTTTAAATATTATGACGGATGAAGACTGCTGCATAAGTATTAGTAGGTTATACAGAGTGGCTGGATGCAATAGTGGCCTTGCGTCCAATATCAGGCAGCTCTTCAGCCAAAATGCCAGGTGGATTACAGCCTGGATCGTGACTAAACATATATCCTTTGGATGGTTCCATATTAAAGACATTCATTGGAAGAAGTAAAGTTTTCTTTTTTTTTAAAAAAAAAAAATCCGATTCGCTTGTTAAGCCTTGATCTGAGTGAACACTGGCACAGTCACTGACAAATGGAGCCCCCTGGACTTGATTTTTGTTGGCAACTATGATTTATGGTTATGTATTATTTATGCATATTGTTTAGATACATTTATTTGGACTTCTGTTTTTACTTGGGTGTCCTGACAGGCTGTGTTTACATTTCAAGAACTTTTGAGCTGGTCCATTGTTATTACATGGTTCTAAAACACTCTTCTCATTCTTGCACAAGTTAAAAGAAAAAGTAAATTGAATGAATATGTTACGCTGCTATCATGTATTTAACGTAAGTAGTAGGAAAACAATGCTTATTAAAAGTCTTACTTAAATTGGCATTAAGACCAACAATAAAATAACAGCAACATTTTGACTGGAAGGTCTTCACTAGGTTGTATGGAAGGAGAGAGTGTTCACTCGTGTTATTTGAAAAGACCAATCTTAAATGTGTTTTTATTGTAGACGTTATTGTGTCCTGCATTTATTGTAGCAATAGTAAACAAAGGAAATGCCATTTTAAAGTACATGAACTACAGTCCCCTGCCTTCTTCCCTAATCCACCCTCTTCTCCAGCCGGCTTTTGAGTTGGTTACTGTCGCGCCATCTATAAACAAATCATAGTCAAACACAAACACAGACCTCTGCCCTTAAGTGCACTCTCATTGTCAGTGTGTGCAGTTTTGACCTAAAAATGATGATAATGCAACACTTTTTCTCACAATATCAGCCATTATTACATTATGAGCTGTTATTACATTATGAGCAGTGTCAGTAAGGCTCATAATATAATGAGTTATTACATTATTACATTATGCACAAAGCTGTTATTACCTTATACGCTCATGATTTTATTACATTATGAGCCAATTATCACATTATGAACTTTTATTACATTTCTGTTATTACATTATGAGCTGTTATTACATTATGAGCAGTGTCAGTAAGGCTCATAATGTAATGAGTTATTACATTATTACATCATGCACAAAGCTGTTATTATCTTATACGCTCATGATTTTATTACATTATGAGCCGATTATCACATTATGAACTTTTACATTTACATTTCTGTTATTACATTATGAGCTGTTATTACATTGTGAGCTGTTATTACATTGTGAGCTGTTATTGCATTATGAGCTGTTATTGCATTATGAGCTGTTATTACATTATGAGCTGTTATTGCATTATGAGCTGTTACTACATTATGAGCTGTTATTATATTATGAACTGTTATTGCATTATGAGCTGTTACTACATTATGAGCTGTTATTGCATTATGAGCTGTTATTAAATTATGAGCTGTTACTACATTATGAGCTGTTATTACATTATGAACTGTTATTACATTATGAGCTGTTATTACATTATGAGCGACGCCAGTAAGGCTCATAATGTAATAAGTTATTACGTTATTACATTATGCACAAAGCTGTTATTACCTTATACGCTCATGATTTTATTACATTATGAGCCGATTATTACATTATGAACTTTTATTACATTTCTGTTATTACATTATGAGCCATTACTACATTATGAGTTGCTACAGGCTACAAAGTAAAACATCTTGTCCCTGCTCCTACAGGGTGCACTTTGAGGGCATTATTTGCACCTGAATACTGAAACCCTTGTAGTGCGCCTCTACCTGTGAGAGGGAGACCTTAAAATGGACTTCCGTCTGTCAAGGCAGAGTGTTAATGCCTTGATTGAGTCCTTTGGCTATGGCAAGGAGCACGGCTGGGGGAAAGATCTGGAGGTAGCCATTTACTTATACTGGCTGGCCAGTGCCACCTCTTATCAGGTAGTGTCGGAGGCCTTTGATGTCCCCACCAGCACAGTGTGTGATGTTGTGCATCGGGTCAGAGAAAGCATAATGGCCATCTACAGGAGGGTGGTCCACTTTCCTGCTGCAGATGAGCTGGAGGGGATAGGGGAAGGCTTTGCCCACCTGGCTGGCTCCCGTGCCTTCAATCGCATGGCTGGTAGCATCTATGGCACTCATATCAGGATCAAGCCACCTGCAGCAAATAAGGAGGACTACCTAAATAGGTACCCTGCATATGAATTACCCACTTCACACAAACATATAATGGCCTGCTTTAATCTCATACCAATGTCAATTAGTGACTACATTTTTTTTTATAACAGGAAGCTTTTCCACTCAATCCAGCTGCAGGTGGTCTGTGATCACAAAGGTTGCTTCCTGAACACATTCACAGGTATGGATGGAAATCAGTATTGTATCAACAGGTTGATAAAATATTGATTAGATTCAGATAGTATTGGTATATTAGTATTTAGATTTAGATTTGAATAGTATTTTTTCATCCAAGTGAAACTGTGATCGCATATTACATTT